TATTTTAAAAATTTTAAGTCATTTTTAATGGCCATCTTCTCCTCATCGGCCATCTTTCCCGCTATGTCTTGTATATAATGTAATTTAAAATAGCACACATTTTTTTTTCTTTAGACAGTGACATATCTATTCAAGAGAATAATTTACTGTATACTGTAATAGAAATTTTAAAAAATTAACCTGACAAGGAAGAGATAAGATTACTAAATTGTCGTGTATTCATTAGATGTTATTGCTAAACATTTACAATAGTCGAAAAATACGGTTTATAATACAAGACTTCTTCATTGGAAATGTCGTAGCCATGTACAGAAAATTGATCTTTTCGAAAGGTACTTATACATGACTACTAAGAAATGCTTACACAATATTCAACTTGAGAATTTATAGAAGTAAACAACGGATTTGACTCTAACAGAACTAGTGAATTTTACTGAATGTTTTTTTACTTTGACGTCACTATGTAAAACATGGAGATTCTGAAAAGATAGTAGATATTTTTATACTTCAATATATTTTGCTACATTTTTACTATATGTTTAAGCTGTTTAAAAATGATATAAAACCTATTTTCCGAGTTTTGACTAGATCATAAATACATTTTTTTCCTACTAAAAATTCCATTTTTATATCCAAAAAATAATAAATACAAGACGATGCATTGCTTAGAACATACTATAAAAACGAAGAAAATAATAAGCAATTTTTATATACAAGAAATTTTTAAAGAAATTTAAGAAATTATGTAGAGAAATTTCTTTTAAAACAATGCGTTTTAAAGGGAAAAATCCTTGATTTAGGGAAATAGGGAAATTCTCTAATCGAAAGATTTTTCTCTATATTTCTTTGTATTATCTTTGAAAGGAAAAAATTCTTTGAATTAGGGAAAATTGCAAAGAATTACGGAAAATTCAAAAAATTCAGGAAAAAAAATTCTTTGAATTAGGGAAAATTGCAATTTTCCCTAATTCAAAGAATTTTTTTNAATTAACATAATAAAATTTAAAAAAATGTTTTAAAGCAATTTTAAAATACTGTATAAGAAAAATTCAGGGAAAAAAATTCTTTGAATTAGGGAAAATTGCAATTTTCCCTAATTCAAAGAATTTTTTCCCCTGAATTTTTCTTATACAGTATTTTAAAATTGCTTTAAAACATTTTTTTAAATTTTATTATGTTAATTATGAATGTGTACTACAATAAAGGAATAAACTACAGTTAGATTTTCTGTATACAAATCTTTTAGTTATTTCAACCCAGTTAATTTTACATAAAAAAAATTATGTAAATCACGATGTCAAACCATAAGAGAAAACAATCTGGTCGTATCGTAAACAAATTGTATCTTAAATAAAAAAAATCATACGTGAAAGAATGTAAAAAAAGTACATACCACTTTAAACTAATTGGTTTATTTCTTCGTTCGTTTTAAGTTTGTCTGGACTTGGTTTGTCTCGACATACGAATAAATAAATCATTTACGTAAACTAAATAAACGACGTCTGTGATGTGATGCGTAATTTAGAAATTCAAACATAACAATAAATTAGGGATAAACTAATAATTTTCATATTCATATTAGAAAAAAAAAAATAAGTAATTAGGAACTATGTGATGTGCTTCCACAGTTCTGAAAATTAGATGCATAGTAGTTTTAAAACTCAGATATTCATATATCTATTGTAGAAACAATTACCTTTATATACATGATTTATCTATATCCCAGTTCATATACTTTTAACCCCTTCTTAGAGTTTTACTTAGTAATGGCATAATAATGAATTTATTATAGCCTGTATGTAATAGGGATAAATTTCTGTGATTATGAGGGATTTATCCCTCTGTATAGAGATATTACATTTTACTCTTCTTACTTAATAGAGATATTTACCTGTTGAGGGATAATCTTAGCATTTGTAGTTTGATATGTGTACAATATCCCTGCTTCAAATCTATAAAATCCTCTGTAAAAATATAAATAACATCAGTTGATATGCCATTGTTTCTATTTTTATACTATTTCTTAATTTATATGTATAAATGAATATCTGAAAAAATATTGAGAGGGGTATATTTAGCCTATATATTATACTGATGTGTTAGGGATATAATCTTAGTAATTATATCCCTACAGATGTTGCCAAATTTTATTTAAAACGAAAATACTTGAAATCCTCAACCATATTTGTAAATCAATAAAAACAAACACTGTATGTACGGTACAGTACAAAGCAAATATGAATTTTTAAAAGTTTATTAATTATTAATTTGTTTATTCTTAATTAAATTAATGTATAATAACAGCAAAAATAAATACATTTCAATAAAATGAAAAATGTAAATAAAATTACAGTGACATTAAAAAACTTTTTTCCAGTGCTATATATCTTACGTTTACATTTTGTGTAAGATAGCATAAAAGTTAGGAAAGATATAATTAATGGAAAAGTATTGGAAATGATTATATATTATTTAATTTACGAAATGGATTCAAGTTTTATTAAAACTAAAATTTGATGGAAAATTGTAGTATAAAACTACAGAATAAATTCTCTTATTTAATTATTTATATATTACTGAAACTGTTATGTAATTTTTTTTAATGACAAATGATGAAAAATCCACGACGGTCTACTGAAAAATTTTGTAGATATGTTATAACTATCTGAAAATTTCATTTAAAAAAATCTTAATAAACAAAAGTTAGAAGTGGTACTAAAATAAATTTTTATTTTTATAGGCTCTCGAAGGTACTTATATCGACAAGAAGTGCCCTTTCACGGGGAACGTCAGCATTCGAGGCCGTATTCTGAGAGGGGTGATAGTAAAAATGAAGATGCAACGTACCATAGTTATTAGAAGGGATTATTTGCATTATGTTAAGAAATATAATAGATTTGAAAAAAGACATAAGAATATGTCTGTTCATTTATCACCATGTTTCCGGTAAATTTATTTATTTTCTGCTTGCTATTAAATTTTAAGCCTGAAGTTTACGGTTTTAAAATAGTTTTATTTAATTAAACAGCTGATTAAGTTTGTGGGTGTCCACAAACTATTATTTGATGGCAGTTAGCTAAAACTGAAAACTTAATTATAAGAATTAGGAATTTTTATATTCTTAATAATCAAGTATGTACAATCTGGGAAACTATATATACAAATAACTTTTTATAAGATAACTTATTCATATTATGGTGCAGACAATCATGTAATAATTAGTTTTGCTCATTTATAAGTAAATATTAAATTAAATTAACGCTCTCTTTAATTGAAAGTTATCATTATTTTAAAAACTTAAAATTGCAAAATTTGTTTGAAGTTTTTAAAATAATGATAATTCCTTTAAAAAATAGAAAAATATTTTAGAAAAAACTAAAAAGATTAAGAAATGAAAAGATGTTTAGAAATTATTATTTTCTCACTCATTACTGTAACAAGAATTGGTTATGTTTCTAATGGATTAACCAGAATATGAAAAAATGTAGCAGAGAATTGTAGCATTAGAAAATAAGGCAGATTCTTCATTTTATAGTGGTATATGGATGATAGAAAGAGTGTCAATTATTGTACAGTACAGATGCCAATATTCAGAGCCAAAAATCAACAGAGTTACGATAACTATAATGCCATAAGTGTTCATGCATTAAAAATAAAGTGGATGGTAATTGGTTAACTTGTAACTCTAACTCCTGATCTTCAATTAGGAATATATGGCAGTTTCTGGCATATATTACTAACTGGAAAACTTTCAGTTCAAAATAAGAATTACATCATTAACTAAAGACACTGTATGCAGATTAATTTCTGCAAGCACACTCCAAATAATAGGTTCAGAAAACTGCTCTCTTCAATGATTATAAGATGTGATTATTTCAGTCTAAATAATCATATGTATTACTATTTGTTGTAGTTTTGAGATAAAATAATCCTATCATAGGAATTAAGAAATTTTTGGCTAGTTATTCAAATGCAACCATGCAAGATTTAATTTTTTTTGTATACAAATGCATAAGAAATTTTGTACAGTATTTTTTTCAATTTCCATGGAGACTATGCCTTCTACTGAAAACTGGCTTAAAAAAAGGGGTATCTATCTATATTTGTTTCATGCAAGAACAATTATAAGAATTAGTCATAACAATTCTACAAACAAATGATCTCATTAAATCGTACATGAATACATGAATCGACATTTTCCATAAAATCATGATGGTTTTTTAACCATCATGATTTTATGGAAAATGTCAGTTTATCTGTCAAAAAATAAAAAAAATTAGTTAATCTGTATCTTTCTCTAATCTTATATTGTAATTAAGAATTTATTTATTTATTACATATATCAAAAAACAAACTAATTATTAAAAACTGTGTAATTAAAAATAAAAATTATAACAAATTAATATCAGTTTTAAAATACTTCTNGTTAAATAATAAGGATTAAGAAAATTTTCGGTAAATATTCAGCTTTATTTCTAAAACAAAAACGTTAATAATTATGATTAATTTAGTTATATAATTAATTAAAAATAATAAAATTTCTCTCTAAATTTGAGTTTAAATAATAATAATAATAATAAAACCTTAGGGAATTTTTGACTACGTTAAATCTGGAATAACGAAATTTCCCTGAGTTGAGAATAGGGAATTTTTAGCGATTATTTTTCTTGTTAATTTTTTTTTTTTAACTACTTTCCTGTGTTAATTAAATGGCTTAGAAGAAGACAAAAAAAAATTGAAAAAAGTAAGAAGAAAACTAAAAAAGAATAATATAGAAGCTGTTAATAAGCTTGCATCCTGTCTGTAGCAATTAACATTATTGAAATGATGATTATGTTTTAGAACCCAGCTAAACTGACTCACTTAAATTAGTTAATAATCATTATAATAATTATTTGTCCTATTTGTCATCGTAAATAACAAAATAATCTTACAGATGCGTTGTTTTTGAAATATTAGAACTAACAGGGAGAAGAAAAAACAAGGGAAAAAAAACTTACCCTAAATACCCCAAAGGATGGGATATTCCGATGACGTAACCAGTAATTACCGGTAATCTCTGAAGATCGAAGTTAATTTATAAAATTAAATTAATATATTAAACTTTAATTTGTTTACCAATTTTAACTTCAAATCATCAAAGCATTTTGAACATTAAAAAAATAAATAAATAAATAAAATTTAGATTTAAATAAAAGTTCGTTATAAAATCTTTCGACCGTTGTCTGCTGACGTCATAACTACGTATTTTAAATTTTTAAAATTTATATTCCTTTAAAACCATTTAAAAATTTCATCACTTTTAAAACGAATTGTTTAAAGTAAAAATATTCCAATGAAAATAATTTTTAATAATATATTTATTTTGAATTTTTATACGTAGTAATAATAATAATAATACAAAGTCGACCCCGCTATAGCACTGTTAATTTTTCCGTTTTATATGAATTCCATGTTGTACGAGTCACTTAGATTTTACAAATACATGAGCCGTTCACAGCCCGGCACACGTATTTGTAAAATCTAAGTGACTCGTACAACACGGAATTCATATAAAACGGAAAAATCAACAGTGTTATAGGGGGGTCGACTTGTACTGTATTAGATTCGAGTGACGTCAAATAGATTCGAACGGCTGATCACGTGGCCGCTTTAACCCCCCCTTTTTTTTTTAATTTTCAAACGGAAGAAAAAGTTGAAAAAATACATGAAAACATATTTGAAATCCGAGAAACGTTTCATATGAAAGAATTTAATTTAAAATTCGATACTTTCTTACAAAATATACGACTCGATATCAATCGATAATATTTTTGTTTGGATTTACATGCTAGTGACGTCAGAGGGGAAACGATGACGTTTTCAGGTTCAAAAAATAAATAAATAAATAAATGAGTAAATAAATTCTGCGTCTAAAACTTTTAATATAAATAATTAATTATTTTCTAATGTTTTAAATATTTGATGGAAATAAATAATTAAATTTATATATTTTCCGAGAGATCATTTTTACGTGGAAAATTTGTTAATATTTTATTTATAATTATTTTATAAATTAATTACTTTCCATTAATGCAATATTCGGATACTTTCATTATAAATTTTTTTTATATTTTAAAATTTTTTCGCCTTGTTAACAGAATAATTTTAATTATTTTAAAATATATTTCTTCTTTAAAAATAATTTTTTTTCTTCCTTTTTTTTTATGAAAAAATTATTTTTTTCCATCGTAGATTTTCCGTTATGAGAGGAAAAACTAAATTATTCTTTTAAAAAAAGTCTTTGTTTTTTCCCCCTTTTAACGAAAATCCCTAAATACAACAGGGATAAAATAAACATTAAAAATAAAGATATAAGGTAATTTGTTTTCGCATCAGGGAAAATTCCTTGTAAGATTAAGAACGAAAAATAAATACGAGTGAAAACTTTAGGGAAATAGGGAATAAATGGAAAAATATTCCCTGTTAGGTTATGTTAGGGAAAATTCAGGAAGATAGGGAATAAACGGGAAAATATTATTCGGGTTAGGTTAGGGAAAACTCAGGAAAAGATGAATAAAGGGGTAAATATTTCCCTTTACTCCCTATTTCCCTGATTATTTCCTATTTGATCTTATTTTCCCTGCTTTCTTTGATATTAAATGTCGCTTGAAGAAAAGCGCTACCATAATGACTTTATTCGTCTGAATAACTTTTAATCATACCTGAACGATCTGATCGAGCTCGAATTTTAGAACAAAACGTTAAAGCCTATTTTAAGAATAATATTATTTAAAATAATTAATATTAAGCGCAAACTCTAATATATAATTTGTTTATAAAGAAGGAACTAAAAACAAATTTTGGACAACTTGTATAAAAAAAAGAAAACATAAATGACTTGATAAGCTAATTGTGTAGAGCATCCCCTTATTTTATTTTATTTTATTTTTATTGTATAAACGATTACAGAATTGCTACTTTATTTTTATTCGAGTACTCTTATATCATGTCTTAAATGCTAGAATTTTTTTATTATTGAAAATTGTTGAGTAGAACTTAAACTTTAAGAATCATTACAAATTTTTCCATATAACATGTTGGAGAGATTCATACTTAATTAATTTTTATACGAGATTGTTTGATTACAAGCCACGATGTCTTTTAAATGGTCATTCAACTTTTCAAAATTGAATTTTGTGGGGGAAAAAATCTTGAAGCAACGAACGGAAATCGCAAAACACAGGAGAGTAGATTTTACTCTTGTTTTATTAGGGAATTCCCTACAATTTTTCTTTCCCTCTTACAGCAATATATCAAATATATATATATATTATTTTCAACAATATTTTTCTAGCTTAATATCCATTCTCCATTCTTACTCTATCTTTCACTTCTTCGATCTCCTCCTCGGGTCTCTTTCTTATAGCATTCTTTCGCCGTTCCTCCATTTTTTCCCCATCCTCTCGCTCTCTACGTCTTGTTTATCTCTGACTTGGAATATTTTAAACCAATTCTTTATTCATTTTCCTACATTTTTTTTTTGATAATGTAATTTAAGTAATTGTCATTTTTTTTAAATATCCAAGATTTTCGCTCAGCAAGTAATTTAAAAATAACAAATGGGGAAAACTTAGCAATTCTCTCATGAATATTAAACAAACTCTCTTCTAAGATCAATGTTTAATTCAAGAAAGCAAACACTGGAATTCTATATTTAGAAATTCGTTTTTTAAAGATTTTTATATATTTTTTTCTGGTTTATATTTATACCAGTTAGAACAATCTAGAATATAGAATATACTGTATATAGGCCTATATGTGTATATAGATGCCTATCTCATGAGCAACCTGATAACATATGACGATCTTCATGAAATTCGAGTTCGTAGAAGGGATTATACGTAAGAAATTCTTGAAAATCGAGTCACAAATCACTATTTTGTCACATCGTTTACTGGATAAGGTCAATTATATCTTCAATCTTACACTGAACATTGCACAACGGTTTGGAAAGGGTGAAGAAGGGAATAGACATTCTTCACAGAAAAATAAATGTGAAATTAAAAAATATATATATATGTATATCGTATGATTCTTTCTTGTAGATAATGCTTAACCATTAAAATATCTCATTTCTAACAAACTTATATTGTCTACTGATATTTTAAATCCGATCGATAAGTCAATGGAGTGGAAAATACAGTTTATTCTCGTATCTCAAAATATCTTTAAGGTTGAATTCTTTACGCTTCCAAGGTCAAATTTGGTAATTTGAAAGTGATTTTGCGTATTAATTCGTCAGAGATTTCTGTGTGTAAGTCTAAACTTTGAACTTTACTGATTAATCTCTGCTATATTTGACTGAAGGATGACTTTTGTTCCCATTTCCCTTTCATCGTTAATAGAAAATCTAACGAGAAGAGTGCAATTAACAAAAGGAACACACACAGAAAAAAAAATAGATGCGTATGACTAATGAAGAATGTTTCCTTATAATGTTTTACCAGAACTCCATGTTGGCAAGGTAAACTATTCGACGATTTCATTCGATTTTCTTTAAATAACATTTTTTTTTTTTTTTTAACAGCAAACGTATTACTGAAAACACTTCAGGAAATGTTTGTAGATTAATTTTTAAACACTTTATTACACAATTTCCCACTGGAACAATATTTATAATTTACTAAATTCTTGATCCCCTTATACCAATGTCATCAGAAACCACTTTGAAATGAATTTTTAGAAATATTCTGTACAAAAAAATAATTATAAATATCTTTAAAAATGCTAGTGAATTTATACAATTTATTGAAAAACATCACTACTTTTTTCCTATATCTATGATAATTTATGTAAATATATAGACAAAGTATATTTTTTAAAAGAATTCTCATTCATAAAAAAATATTTCAGGTAAATATGGAGATATTTATAGTATTTTTATTACTTTAAAATGTCCCTACATTTAGCCTACCTGAAATCCGATATTTCGAAGTGTTTAGATTTTTGGGGAAATATTCGGGATATTGGGAAAATATTCCCTATATTTCCCCAAATTTCCCCAATATTTCCCCAAAAATCTAAACATTTCGAAATATTCCCTATATTTCCACGAATATATCCCTATATTCGGGGAAATGTAGGGATTTTTCACACATTAAGAAAAGTAACTCTCCTAATACTTTCCCTGATAACTACGAAAAAAGCCGTATATTTCCTCAAACATATACGAAAAAATCCCTATATTCTCTTCAATATATACAAAACTTTCTGTATTTCCGGAAATATGTAAGAATATTTGTTTAAATCATAAATTAAAAGAAATACAAATTAAAATATATGTTACATTTATCATAATTTTTTTTAATAACTAAATTGAGTATATATATTTTTCATCGTATGAACTAACCTCGACAGGTTTTACCCCGCTACTGTAAATTTCCAAGTAATTCCCTACAGAAGAGGTGAAAAAAAATCCCCAAATTAACCGGAAGCCGACTCGTGCACGCAACAAACTGTTGCATATTTTAAAATATAAAATAAAATAGAATTATATAAAACTATTTACTATTGATTCATTCAATAATAAAACTTGGTATGATCCTTTCATAAAAAAAAATATATATATATATATTATAATATTCATTAAATAGAGCATTTAAATACACATTTTTCGTAATGACAATAAAGGAAGTTTCGAATCATCCCCATTCATTATTACAAGGAAATACGAGATGCAAGAAATTTCTCAACATCTGTTCGATTGTCATTGCCAGGTTCGATCGCAGAAGGGGTGCGTATGCCTGGTACTGACGTCATACAATCTGTGCTTGAAATTGTTAAGAAATGATAAACATTGCTTTAGAAAAAGGTCGAAGATGCATAGCGGGGATTCTTTAGTCAAACAGAGAATATAGAAGAATGGTAGTTGCTGTGGATTTGACATTCAAACCGATTCTTTTTTTTTTTTTTTTACAAATCTGTATAACAGGGAAATCTCGTGCGTGTGTTGTAGACGTATTTTAACAATAGGGCATTTCACACGAGAGATTTGATTTTAATCAGTTTCACTGTGTATTAAATTATAAATGAATAAACACCCCGAAAATTGTTTCAAATGTTTAATTAAATTACAACTCTTTAAAGTAAACAAAACAATAAA